TTATTATTATTATTATTATTATTATTATTATTATTATTATTATTATTATTATTATTATTATTATTATTATTATTATTATTATGGCAGTAATCCACTTTGCTTTGGACCCTGATATGACTAGTTGTTAGCTCATCAGTTTCTGTCATAACTAAGTTCTGTTTTAGCAACCTGAGTTTTTTTTTTTTTTTTCAACAGAAAATATATTAATTGTTCATACCAGTTCCATGTAATTCCATGATAAAAGATCTGAATGAACCATTTAAGGTACCCGTTTGCTTGTGGGAAAGTGAGAGTTGATGGAAATCAAATTCTGAGTAAAGTCCATGGTTGTCTTAGACATCCACTTTGTCTTTTTTAGTCTTGCCCAACATGCACACATGTGCACAGAAATAAACACAGTTTATTATGCAGTGACATTACCAGATCCCCTTAGGCAGCTGTGCATCTCTGTATGACTGATGAGGGTAATTTCTCCCAAACAACAGAATGATCACTTTAGTGGTGAGTGCGACAGACACTCCCTCCCCCCCTTGTCTTCCCTCTCTCTCTCTCTTTCCTTTTAGCTTACAAAAAGGCAGGAAAAAGACAGACATTTGTTACCATGTCTCCTGCAGTGTCTGAAATGTTTCCAAAGATAAATAGCCCTGCCACCTTAAACAAATGCATTAAGCAAAAATAAGTTAATCATTCTACCAGATCTAACTAATCTACTGATCCTTCGGGCTCAAATAATTTTCATTCACTGCCAATGAAAGACATTTCCTTTTGGATTTGGGGTTAGCTGGGTTTCCTTATTTTTTCATTGATTACCATAGGGATCCAATATAATACACATGCCAGTGTGAATTAGCCTCATATTAGGAACTGAGAGCGTCACTGTGAGTTTATGCTGTGTGTGCACTGCTGGGTGCCACGGGATGCACAGAGCTGAGAGTAGTTAGGACTTCTCTGCTTCTCTCTCTTGGCCTTATAGTTTCAGCCTCAGTGGGCTGTCTTTACCTATTCTCCCAACTGTCAGTCACGCACGACAACAAATCCACCTGTCGACCAGGAGACTGGGCTGAACGGGGCGACGCCACAGCTGTCTGGGCCCAGCTCTGTGCAGTGGGGTGCAAGTCAGCGCCCTCCACTGGTGACAGAAAGCCCATTAGGATGCTTATTACCCCACCTGTCAGCCCCATTGCCTCACTTACACCCATAAGCCAGACTAATGAAGACAGTTACCACTACAGCACCTTGAACAGGAAAGTCATGCTTCTATGCATTTTGTGGTCCTTGTGTCCTTGATCACAAGGGCTCTCCAGGCTTGTAACAATATAACAATCCATGCGTTAAGAGACAGACATTTCTCCTGCATCACTTGATTGCCTCAACAATGAAGCTATTAATGCTGCATTATGTAAATTGGACTGGTCACAAACATCTAACAGGATAAAGGCTAAGTACAGTGCAATTTAATGCTGCTGACTTTCAGCAGCTCTTTGAAGGATGTTTTCAATTATAACGGTGCTAATTTAATTCATTGCTTCATGGCTGAAAATGCATTTTTAAAGCTTGACTGAGTCTCTGTTTCAGAACTCAGGTTTAATCAGTCATGTACATTAAACACTGAAATGTCCTCTAAAGAGATTGACAAAGTTGCCGGGGATCTGCATTCTAGGTTTTAAAGGGACGCAGTAGCCCTACCCCTCTCTTTTTTCCTTTTCTCATATGGCAGGCTTCAGTTGCGGAGGGGAGGGCGTTCGTCTAAAAGATGAAAAGACCTGTGCCTTTAAGAGGGCTGTCTCCCCTTTCCCTCTTGCTCCCCCTCAACCACACAGACACTCCTCCTGTGAGCATTTGTGAAGCAGCTCCTGTCCCTTATGTCTCTTTGTGGGGAACAGAACCGACTTCCCAGAGCATCACTGAAGACAAGATAGAACACCAGGGAAGACACCTTTGGCTGCAGACCTCTGTGTCTCAGCTGCAGCAGTCGCCAAAATGTGCACGTGGAGAGAAAAGGGCTGAGCAACTTCAGCTGGAGTCAAAACAGTAAAGTCCAGATGAAGAGGAGGAACTTAACAATTCAAGAAGTCAGCTCTGAAGTAAAGTGGGGATGATCAGCAGGTGAGAATCAATAACGTTGGACGGGACCTCTAAGAAAAAGGTGGAGTCTTAAAATGAGCTTTGAGTTTCTCTTTAGAAAAGTTTTGTTAAAGAAGACTTGGAAAAAAGAGTTGCATTGTGTGTAGCTATTAGAATAACAATAATACACAGAAGTACAAAAAAGGGAGAAAAATATTAACTGTGCATTTTTCTTCTCAGATAACTCTGGAACACTTTTCAAACAGACACTGGTTTTATGAAAATGAGATGCTCTTTAAAGAAAATCTTGAAAGGCCCCAAGAGTACTCTTAATTCATCAGCCAGGCGTTTATCTTATTTCTCCAGCTTCCTTTGAGACGGGGCATTAAAGACTTTGTTGCGCTTGGGGAGTGAGTAATATTTCTTACGTGACATCTTGAAACTGTACGGCTGTTTACTGGAGGAAGAGAGAAATGTGTTCAGTGCCAAATGAAATGATGGTATGTTGTATGCCGTGAGGGGAAGAGTGTGTCTGGACCAAAAGTGCGGCGAGGACTGCAGAAATGTTTACAGGGTGTGGAGTTGTCTGTGGCCAGAACCAGTATATGACCAACAACGCTATAAAGCCTCAACCAGGACCGGAGGTAAATAGACCGATTCAATTTGACAACGGTTTAAACCAAGGGACTTGCCCGATCATCCAGGGTCAAACTTACACAAATTCTGTGACGCAGACAGCAGTGTTTAATGGCGTTTCTAACCTGCCAAAACCCGCTCCACTATTGGTCTCCCCTCCAGCAATTAAACTGGGACAGGACGGATTCAAAAAAGTTTGCCGTACTGAGGAGGAGAGCCCCTGTCCTTTCCCAGGTCTGCCTTCTGGGGTACTGGAGATGCGTGTGAAAGAAGGGAGCAAGATTCGCAACCTAATGGGATTTGCAATGGCACGAATGCAAGGCGAAGCGGCTGGAAGTGGGGAAGGTGCGGGCGGCGCTGGTCTCAGGCAGGTGGTCTTCACTGGGTCAGGTCGAGCAGTCACAAAGACCATCACCTGTGCTGAGATCATGAAACGAAAAGTGGGCTGTCTGCACCAGCTGACCAAACTGCAGTACAAAGTGGTGAAAGAGGTGTGGGAGAGTAACCAGGGAGGGACATCTGAGATGACGGTGCACAGGACTGTTCCGTCCATCAGCATCCTTCTTTCAAAAGACCCTCTGGACCCACAGGAACCAGGCTATCAGCCTCCAGAGGCTTTGAGTGCATTGTGGGAGGACAGAGAGGGGGTTGAACCTGCTGCACAAACAACATGCAAAAGAGCTCTCGGATCTTTACCACACAGCAGTTTCTCTCACCCTAAAAAACTGTGTTTGGGGCGAGGGAGTCTCAATCCTTCCTCCTCGCTGTCCAGCTGAACCAGTTTTACAGTGGAGAGGATTGAATCAGCGAAGTTCATTATTTCTCTGCTCTCCACTCCCAGCACAATGCTGAGACAATCAGAACATTCACTCAGTCAGAACAGTGATTTCTTAGATGAACTGAATACTGGCTGAAGGCTCCAGAGGTCAGCTTGACTAGGACCTTGCATCTGTACAAAGACCATTTCTAAGACGTATTTCACAGACTCCGATATACACAAAACTGTGATGATGTGTGCTTCTGTCCATTTTGATTGTGTACAGATTTAAATCTTATTTAACAGTGGCAAGAACAAAAACAACAACCCAAAAAAAAAAAAAAGCCATACATTGTGCAGATTCCAGTTTCAGTAAACTATCTACAACTTGCGGACAACATCCTTCATTGGTTTTACCTTACAATCATCCACATTCATAAATAATCTAGAATAAAGCTTCTCAGATAAGAGAAGAGATTAAAGAACACAAAATAAAAAATAGAGCTTAAAGCCGCTGATGATATGCAAATCCAAATCATACCAATTGAGGTTTTCTTATTATCAATCTTCACAAAAAAACAGATATTCAAAGAAAAATTATCTTCATCTTTTTTTTTCTTATACATCACTGAATATGCAAAGCTCTGATGAGACAGAAAAAAAAATCTCAGTGTGCTGATGTTTTGATAAAAATACCAGCATTGAAATTTGTCAGTAGAAAACAGATTTAATGACAAAGCTGTTGATAAGGCTCCAAACCAACTCAGCCTGACAGAAATGCCGGGGGGAGAAATACAGGCACAGATTATCATTAAGATAACAATGTAACATCACAGAACACACTGAAGAAAAGGATTTAAACTTGGTTTGACAGAGCTTTACACTGCACTGAAAATATGAAACCAAGGCAACAAGGTAAACTTCTTTGTATATTTTTTATCACCCCCCCCCACCACCACCACCACCCTTTTTAGGCCTTCATGCCATCTAGTGAAGTGAATCTGTTGTCATCTGTGTCTCCCTGTATAATCTCTAATTTCTCAAACAGAACAATAATCGGGAAAATACAAAATCAGTCTGAAAGGAGTTACATGTTAAAGTAATACCATACAACTTCTGGTTGACAACAATAAATTAAATGGATTCTGAATTCCTCCAGTTGATGTTATTTTGAATGCATTGTCTCTTTGTCCCAATTTTGATGTGATTTAGCAAAAGTTAGAAGTTATTGGCAATGATAAACTAGATAATCAGGACAGCTAAGGCAGATAGACCACAGTCACATTGAGGTGGATAGGCAAAAACAAACAAAAAAACAGCTGTAAGCAAATTACATGCAGTTTTGAGAATAAAAAAAGGCTAAAGCCAAAACCACTATATAT